GGAGAGAGGCGAATGGCAAGTGTTTGCTACGAATTACAATTAAATGAAACTGTGGTTATAACATTTAATTTGAATTAGTAGTTTGCTATTTTATACAACTTTTCCTTAAATATTTATGTAATTTTTTTAATTATAATTTTTAACAATTTTGTTATATATATATTTAATATAATTAGTTATTAAGTTATTTCACTAATTATTTTTATATCCTTTTTTAGTTAATTAAAATTGTTCACATAAAAATATTATATTATTTATTTTTTAAACTTTTATTAATTTAAAATTATTAATTATTTTTAAATTTTATTTTTGATTACTATTACTTTATACAGTTATTTAAGGATAAAAATAGTATTGAACGGAAATAATAAACTTGTCTTGATTTGTTATAATAAATAAATAAAATAATAAAGTGAAAATTATTAAATGACAAAAATATCCATTAAATCAATAATAATTTTGAAGAAGCACACACGTTTTCTTTTTTACTTTTACCTTTCGCTCTTAGCATTAGAAGTTTTTTTTCATTATTTATCTTCAACATTAATTACTTATTTCTTAGATTATTTCTCAGAATCTAAGACTATACATTAGTTACTATGAAAATTATAATAAAATACGCATATTAAATATTAGTTTTAAAGACGTATAAAATTAAAATTAAACAAATAAGAATAAACAAAATAAGTATAAAATATAAATGGAGCCCATAAAAAACTTTCATGGCCCCATCTTATGAAGGATCCTGAAAGGCAAGTTCACAATTAAAATTTTAAGTGGATCCCACACTTTTTCCATTGAATGAACAAATAACAGCTAAATGAAGATGAGGTAGCCAAGGGGAATAAGTAGGCAGCACAAGCAGACGTGTTGACGGGCACCCTTTATTAGAAGTAATATACTCCTCTATTTTTACCTTTCTCTTTTACTTTTGTTTTTTATTTGGAGTCCCAATTAAATTCGGGTCATACATGGCAGGGTTCATTTGAAGATGATGCTCTCAACAAGATTTTTTCCATACTCAAGGCTTGAACCTGAGACCTCCGATTGAGATTGAAGCAGTCCCACCACTGCACCACAACTCACATTGGTATCTTTTACTTTTGTTAATTAGATTAGGTAACTTTATTTTTTTTTCATGTGAGAAAAAAAGAGAATATTTTATGGTATCCTTAAAAACTTCAAAGAGAAGCAAAAGCTTTTAATTGGGATTCTTTAGAGGCCGCACACAATGTAATACTAGCTTGTAATCAAAGCGAACAACACGAGCAACTTCATCAAAGAGAATACAATTCCCCTCCACATGAAATACAACTAGCTAGCAATTCAGATAATGCCTTTTATTTCTTCACGTATTTAAATATGAAATATAATTTTTATAACAATAAATAAATAATTTGCGATAAATTTCGTATCGTAGACAATAATTTCGTAGCTGTGATAGTAGCCGAGAATTAGGGAAGATTCATAGATAATTCCAGAAAAAAGATAAATCATAGTGGTTATTTATAGATTAACTATATATCCAATTATTAATACATTTGGAAGTCGTTCCCTACATAACCTTACAGAAATAATTAGAACATAATAAAATTAGGTGTAGGGACAAATTTTTTTTTAAAAAAAAGATCTATATATCTTTTCTTTACTTTATATTTCAAAAGCATGTGAAAATGTTAAAGGGCCATAAACGAAATGACACTTTCATTTGACATTTTGCCCTTGAATTGACTACTAATTATCCAACATATAAAAATAAAAATAAAAATTTATCCAACATATAAATTAAATTAATACTGTAGTATATAATAAGAAAAAGAGATGCACGAGCCCGGTAAATTAAAGTTGCACGCCCTCGTGTATTTAAGCAGTAAAGTTGGTATTTATTAGTACCTATATTCACTAAAATAAATAAATAAATAAATACCTATAGTAATATAATGTCCCACCCACCCAAACTTCCTATAAACTTACTTATATGTATGCATAGTTTTATATAGAGAAAAAACATAAAGCCTCCCTTAAATTAAGACCTTTTTTAAAGAAAGTAGTTATTAAAGTTTGCAAAGGTTCTATTATTCACGGAATCATCTAAATTCACTATAAATACATTCTTTTGACTCATTTTCATATAAATCGTGTTGTCACGAAATATAAGCGCGTGGAGTACTGATATAATCCCAAACAAATGTAAAAATGCCACATGACACTCCCAATTTATATTTGAGAAAAAGGACAAATATAACCCCGGACTATCGTAAATGGTATGCAGATACCCTCCGTCATACTTTTAGGACATTGGTGCCCCTGCCGTCCAAAAACTAGAGCATATATGCCCTTCACTCTAACGAAAGACTAAATAGGAACACATGACACAATCTTATCCGTCGATAAATGTCGGATCGGTGGATAAGATTATGACACGTATATGTCCATTAGTATAAAGGGTATAAATGCTCTAGTTTTTGGACAGCAGTGGCATCAATGTCCCAAAAATATGACGGAGGGTATTTGCATATCATTTACGATAGTTCGAGATATATTTATCCTTTTTCCCTTTTTATTATTCTGAATAAGTCAAATTTGTAATGATTGTATAGTTTTTTCACTATTGATATATTATAATTCAAATTCATAGGTAAATGCATATGACAATTTTTATTTTTATTTTAAGTTTAGATTATTGCTTTAAAGAACATGCTATGGTTTACTTTAGGGCAAATTACAGAAATCACATACTTTTAAGGCAAAATTACAATTTATCCCTTAAAAGTTTATAATTATAGAAATCTCTCAAACGGATACAATAATATAAGCGCTAATACATTAATCTGATGCGCGAGATACATTAATCGTTAAGTAAGATTCATTACATATTATACATGATACACTAATCTGATGTACATTTTATACATGATACACTAATTTGATGCGCGAGATACAATAATATAAGCGCTGATACATTAATCTGATGCACGAAAATGAAGGATTTTGGAGATTTGTAAAACTTATATGGGATAATAATAATAAGTAAACTAAAATGTGAGATTTCTGTAATTTTTCCTTCCTTACTTACTTTATTGTGACTGCATTTTCGATACAATTGAGTCATAATCCAATATGTAAGCAAATGCATTATTTTGTCTCAAACTTATAAAGTAATATAAAGCAGTAAAGTAAACCATTAATAGTGGATGTCTAACCTCCTATCTCTATATTCACGCTTACAAATGTTTCTTTATTTTTCTATAAAAAGCAATAGTGACTGAAAATTATACAAGGAAAAATAAACATAAGGACACATATACACTATGATAAAACATGAAAGTGAATGTGTTTAAAGTAAAGTTTTCAAATAGCTACTTAATAAGAGACCAAATTCTGTTTGAAATATGTAGGTAATATACATTTCTAGCTTCTATTAATCAGACTCAATATTTAGAAAGAAGAAGAAGAAAAAAAGTAACTTTCTTTGTTTCAATTTATGTGTTTTTATCAGAATACAAAAGTCGTTAAACTAACTAACTTATATTTAGTGTGAACTTAGATATATAGTCTTTAATTTTTTTTAAAAAATTACCGAGAGAGCAGCTTTGTAACATGAGAAAAATCTTTGTCCTCCCGCCTTTTTCTTTCGAATTAAAAATGACCTCATATCAAATTATTTAACTTTTTGATTGAACTAATAGATGCATAGTCTTTCACTTTGGTATATATTGGAATTCTGACTTAAAAAGCTAATCGCTCCACATCTTCTTCTTCTTTGTTATAATTGCCTCAGTACTAATCATTTCTTTTCCTTAATTAATTAATCCCCATGCATTAATTATTGATTAATTAAAGAAATTAGTGAGTGAAATCTGGTACAGTGAATAAGTGGCATTTCTTTTGGGGCCATAGTTGTTTTTTTGAAAATCTTTTGGCTCGAAAGTAACAAATTAAAAGAAAGTAAGGAAAAAGCTATATGCTTTTTTAGCTTTGAGAAAAAAAAGAAAAGCAAAGATCCTAATTAAGAAAGGGGCATTTGACTATTGATTTGGTTATATAGGTGCTTTGCTTCGTTGAGAAGATGTTGCTTATAAATTAGTACCAACTTTAGTGTTTCTCTAAAAGAGCTGCCTGCTCATCATATGAAAAAGATTAAAAAAATAAAAAAATGTCATAAAAGTCAGCTCTCTCTTCTACTCCTCATTTCATGCATCCACTTAATCTATAGGATTTAACTTTTGAGTGGAGGGTCTCTCGAAAATAATTTTCATATTCATCAATGATAGTAATATATTTAAATTATGTTATTAATTATGATTATAATTTCACGAGAAAAGGTTACTGGTGCACCAACTTTACATTCATACTCTTTCTAGTTTTTGGTAAAATTGGATAACAATACTACATTTTTTCTTCTTGATACGCAAATTAATGATTAAGTTAATTTTTTGTGTACTTTTGTTTATAACAGCTAAATGAGATCTAAACGGCAAATGACAATACACATGTATAACACTACCTCACTATAGCAACCATGAAATTTTCAAATAAACATTAACATTATAACGAGATTTGACTATATTGTGAAGTGAAATTTTTGTTGGCTATTATATATTTTTTTTGGGATAATCGTTTTGTAAATGACATACTTTCTTTTTTCACGATTTGAACATTGCTTTAATTTGAGCAGATTAAAAAGTCTTATGTGATAATATTTAATTGCAGTTTTAAATCGTCAAACTTTTATCTACAAAATTAAGCAAATATTTGATCTAAATCTAACATTATCTAGAGGAGTAAGTTTATGAGTGTTATATTTGTACAAGTTAAAACAGAGACAAAATTTAAATAGTGACCTAAAAGAGGCATTTGCATCAACTTGCCTCATATATGAATCCTTAACAGGCTTATGCGTTACACAATAAAACGATTGGGCTAATAATCTCAATTTGGTACAGAAAACGGGCCTCTCGGATCCAATCGTAGCCCATTTCATACGACCCGTCGGCTTCGATCGACTTTTTGTTAGGGTTTTGCATAGGGTTTTAACTGGTAAGTCCAGAAATCTTAACCATTTTCAGGGAAACCAGAAGGTAGCATTTGTTTCCCAAAAGTTGCATGGATCCTTCAGCCTTTAAGTCGTCTCCCGAATTGCAGCAACTTCTCAATGTAAGCTTTTATATCATCTATAATTTTATTTGATGTGTATTTAGGATCTCTGTTTTGCTTCTTCTCTGTAAATTGATATAATTTGAAATTTTTATTTGAGCATTATGTCTCTGGATATATACTTTGATGCTGCTCTGGATTTAGAAGAATTCATTCTTTTCAGTTATGTTTCTTTTTGGGGATATATTTATTTTTTTTAAAAGAAAAAATAGTGGAGAGGACCAGAAGGTAAGGGATCGAACCCTCGCCAATAAGGTGAAAGTTTAGGTAGTCTACCAATTGAGCTACTAAGATCCGCTTGTGGATATTATTTGAATGACTTAATGGATAGGGAAATTATTGATTTGATTTTTTAAAAAAGATTGGCTTAATCTTGGCTGTAGTTGGTATAATTTTGAAAGATATATGCATATTCAATATGTGATGATTCTCTAGCACTCTTCACGAATAGTTCTGAAGCTGTGAAATCTGTATCTAGGACACATACACTAGTGACGAAATGAGAAGAACAGTACTAGTATAGTAGATTTTATGAGGTGTGGTGAACTCCTTTAGGTCTGTCATTTTGATCCCCATTGTTTGTTTGACCAGAAGTGTATCCAAGATTTAAATTTAATGGGTTCAAACTTATTATATTTTTAAAATTATGGGTTCAGACATACTATTTGTTACAATTTTAGTTGCTTTTTACCTCTAAATTTATACTCTGTGTCAGAAGTATTGGGTTCAGATGAACTAGTGCTTGAACACTCCATTCGCCCCTGTGTTTGGCCTTGGTAAATCAAATGAAATCAGCTTGAGAACCATATGCAGTATGTCCGTGTGTGTATGAGTTAGTAGTATCGATGTATGATTTAGCTTTTACTATGCAAACCTGTCCTTTGCGACTCTTTTATGGTTGGCACTTGGCAGCTCTTTTAGTGCAACAGCAGATAAGAACATCTTATTGCTGATTTTTCTTATATAATCTAATCAATATTAGTCAATCAACTATTCAATCAAAAAATATTTGGGGCTGATTATCTGAATCATCTATATCCACTTATACTATGTTCAAGTGTGTTTTATTCAGTACCAAGTAATTTGTATTTTAAGGCAAATTAAAAATTGTCTAAAACTAGAGGTTCCCTAAATCTTATAGTACTGATTCTTACACCAGACTACATATCTTTAAAGAGACAACAAAAACTACTTGCAACGTTCTCAGAAGAAAACGACTCCTTATCAACAGTGGAGACTAATTTAAGTGTAGCATTAGTGGGATAGACATTAAATCCTGTTCTAATTGAGCTAAAAAAAATCAGTTCACGCCTAGGCTTGGCATCTATTGTTATGGATCTTTCACTTCTGTTGTGTTATGATTCCGAGATATTGTATACATGTTTTTCGACAAATTTCTTTATGTGATTTTAGTTTATCTCACTTCTTTCAGCACCTGTCATTTCTATTGACCCCGATGCATATAAAGGTGTACATAGGACATTACCAAGCCATTTTAGGTGATCTTCTCTCATTATTATTTGTTTGAGTAACTTGCAGCCACTGCTAGATGTTATACTCTAGTCAATTTGCATTTTGAAAAATAAACCCATCTGTTATTCCAACAATACTTATTTTTTACTGTTATATATTTGCCAATGTCAAAGTTCCATGCTCACTTATCTGAAGTGTTTTGAGATGTCTCCACAAATATTAGGTTCTTAGTTGTGTTGGAAGAAGACAGTGCATGACTTGACCGCTTGATTTGATTTAGTTGCCCCAACTTGTAAATAATTTTGACAATATGCCAGTTTTCGGTTTGAATGTTGGTGTCTGCTTTTCCCTGTGCGTACAGTTTTCTAATATTAGCACCTGATTTATTCCTTTTATGCAGCAAGAGAAGGAAAGAGCCATGGTCAATGAAGTAGTTGCAAAGCTTACAAGTTCCTGCTGGGACAAATGCGTGACTGGTACTCCTGGAAGCAAGTTCAGCTCCAGTGAATATAATTGTTTAAGTCACTGTGCACAACGATACATGGAGATGAGCATGCTCATAATGAAACGGGTTCAGAGCATGCAGTGAAGAAAGATTGGCTTTATAAAATTAACTCCATAATCTTTTTTGGTTCCTTCAAAGAAATTTGTAGTAAAATTTTCTTGTTGCATAATACAGTTCATGTGGTGTTGTTACAAATTACTAAATGCTGAGAGATGCTCTCATTTTTATTTTACTCACTTCCTTCCCTTCACGAGAAAGGCCATTGATATATACCTAAATCCCTATTCTTATAAATTACGTCAGACTGGATGAAAGGCCAGTAATTAACATTGAACCTATTATAAAATAAACACACTGCACAGAATTTCTGTTGCCTTTCACACAAGAAAAGAAAAATAAAAATAAAATAATATACACACAAAGAAGCCTGGAAGATAAAGTCAGAAGCACCCATAAACTCTGGCTAATGATCTTTACAATTGTCAGTTCTTTTACAATAGCTTAAACAACACCAAGGTCAATCACTATTGCTGGTTTTCGGTTGAGAAAGCGCCATTACTGACAGTTATCCTATTTGAGTCTCCAATTTCAGATGCCATAGCAACTACATCAGGTGGTATTTCCAAGGTTCCACTTCTTCTTCCCCAACTAGAGCGCCTTGGATGTAGTATACTACGCCCATCTGGCAATGTGGCACCATTTAGCTCTGCGGATATAACTGATAGCTCTTCGTCTTTATCAAATTGATTATCATTTCTAGTCTGTCCTTCAAATTCATTTGTTCCTCTCCTTTCTTCATGCCAAGAAGGCTTCCTTCCCCTTTCTAAATCACTCATTGTTTTCTCCATGTTTGGACTAACAAAACCACCTCCAACTTCACGAGGTGGTATTCCAGGTTCTCTCGCCACTTTGGCTCTGAAGTTGTTCTTGGAAGGAGGTATACTAGTGCAGAATATCTCTAAGAAGTTGTGAAGTACACCTTTGTTAAAAGGGTTGACCCTCCGATCATACCGATATCTGAAATTCTCATATGTTGACTGCAAGCACACAAATGATGCAAATGTCAAAATAGGTTGTACTCCAATCCCCAAAATTGGAAGCCATCGAGATGATAGAGAACTAGAACATGAGGTTAAGTTTGACTCTTAGAATACGAAAAAGAAGGGGATTAAATTTAAAGAACCTAACACTACCTGATTTGTGCCAATAAGATATAGATGGAAGACGGTCAATCCACCAACAAACCAAACTGATATAAATGTATAAATGATTAGCACAATAGAAGCAGGAGTCTTGGCCATTGCCTTCCAGATTGACGTCTGTTCACCATCCATGATCCTTTTAATATACACCCAGCAAAAGCCATGCACGTATAAGCAAAGGAGGGTTGTTGAGAAGACAAACATGAAGAAGAAACGGTAATTCCTCTGCACCAACAAACATAACATGGTTAGAGTAAGAAAGCTACAGACATTATGGAAGTAAGCCTTTGCTGTGTGACCAGCATAATGTCTGCCAGTAAAACTATAAAACCCAAAGTATAATACATGTCTCAACCCTATTACCAAAATCACAGCTTCAAGAGCAAGTTTCTTTCAATGGGTTAGATAAAGGGGAAATATATCAATCATCACAATCAGAAAAGTTCTGTCTCAAAAGACTTCGTTAAACATATTAATGAAATAAAAAGAGGACACCCGTTTTGTTACAAAGATTCTCAGTGCAAAGAAAAATATCAAATCTGCTTTGTTGTTGATACTTGGTCAAAACATACCACTGCAAGAATGGCAATATCAGCTACAAACCCTTAGCCTGAAGAGTTTATGGAAGAAAATGTAAATGGACAAACTGCAGCTCCTTCATGTGTTGTTCCAACCTAATTACTTAGAGAGGAAGTAACTTATTATCCAGGAATATGTTTTTAGGGTGAAGTTCTATGGATTCAGGAGAAAGACAGAAAAACAAAATATAAATGGCAGAAAGTATCTTTTGAGAAAGGCAAGTGACTGCCTAGCTATGCATTACAGATTTTTTCATAAAGACGAGCTTAGATGTGCATGCAAAAGTGCAGATTATGCCACAGTCTGAGAAGTTTAATAACTAGCAAAGAGGAACTAAAGGAAAAAAAGAAACGTGCAATTTATCCTCATACTGCAAACGAATTCAGAACTAAATGGAAAAATGAATAAATCAATGACCACCACCGTATGATACAAATTACCATGGATTAGGATGATTATTAAAGGGAAATGCCATGAATGCATTGTAAGATCAAGAGCTATGTGAAAAAGCATTTCTTTTTGACAGCTTCTACTGGCAAAAGAAGATGCTTGTAATTAGAACGAGATACTCACCAATCCAATGCATTGTCCGACCCAGGGGCAGTGATGGTCGAAACGTTCCACACAGTTGTTACAAATTGAACAGTGTGAACAACGTGGAGGCCTGTACAACATGCAGGTGTCACAATATTTGGTTTTCACAGTTATTCCATTGACAGTCACATCCTTGATGCGGGGTAAACGCAATTGGGGAGTTTGACCAGGTCCAGCTTGAGCACTCCCTTCAAAGTTTTCTGGTTCTGGAGGATGAAGGTTGCGAGGAACTATACCGGGATCTCTTCCAGAAGTCAGTAGAAGAAGCACTATGACCTTTGTAAAGAAAAATGATGATTATTATATGTTTTTACTCATAAATCTACACAATTTTGTAGCGGTAAAGTAAAAGATACAGTAAAAACTACCCATTAAATAGTTCATTTATTTGAAAACATCAGCCTGAAACATTACGAACTTTTTCCTACTAAGAATTCAGAAGGTTATCTGCTACGTGGTGTACTCAGGGAAAACAAAGGTCCACCTTATGTGATATAATAAAAGTAAACATAAGACTGCAAGAACCTAGTGTCACTCCCTTGTACGGCACAGAATATTCAAGCAACTTCAAATTTTCCAAGATGAACTGACTAATGCAAAAACAAGATGAGATGCAAGGAGTAATGCTTTTACAGAAGTTTAATGCACTCCTTCTAGAAAGCTAATAAAAAGCCAGTATCACCAAAGCACTAAGGTATGGCCAACATAGTAAAAGATCAAGTAAGACAAGAAAATTTCAATTATTGCAATTCTGCACACGGAGAAAGCGCAATGAAATCTGGAAAATTTCTTCTACCTAAAATTGAACCACATATAAGGTACATATTATTATCTCAACTTTTGGGCATAAATTTTTTATGTGTCCAGTTAAAAATGTGGATTTTAAAATATCCGTATCTGTAAAATAAAAAAAAGGGAAATTCATTTATGGTAAATAATTCTGTCATTTCAGTTATTTCTCAAGAAGAAAAGGTCATTCTAGACCAATAAAGTGAATATTTAACTGTAATTCTTCTCCTCTAGATTCCCTAGGTTCCTCATGGAATTAGTTCAATCTCTTCCAAACACCATTCACCCAAGTTAACTGTCAAGCATTCGTCATTCTTTGAGAATGAAGTACAAACTTCTAAAACTGTTGGCAATCGATATGTTCTGCTTCTAAAACTAAAGAAGAGCAAGATTTTTTTCAACTCCAGCAAGTTCACCAGAGAACAGGACTTCTCAATCAGACTCTCATTGCTCGGTCTTCACACAATGGCCCATCTCTGAAGACCTTCAAAGCTAACTTTAGCTGGAGAGCACTGACCCCCAGATAAGTAAAGATTTATAAATCTTAGTTTCTGTCATCAGAAAGTAGCAGTGATACATTACTCCCAAAGATGCCACTATCCAATCTTCACCGTTTTTTTCAAACTTCGTCATTATGATCTCCGTTGCAATAGCAGACTAGCTTGATTCTCCCAACTTATCAGCAGCTTTTCTATGGACTTGCACAAGGATCACACCATTGCTCTTCCTTCTGAAACATGCGTGCCTATTCCCTTCCTAGCTTGGCAAAGCATAAACCTTGTTTACCATATAGGGCTTTAAACTATTGGCTCTCTCATCCCTAGCTTCTAATTACACTGAGACAATGCTAGATCCATCATGCTCTTTGTAAGAGGACTTTCACTTTGTTTGAATACACGATGCCCTTTTTGCTCAGTAGATTTCAATTGTTGATCAACAATAGCAATAGAGTCTAGTAAACACTCTTTCGAAAACAACATCCATATTTGTTAAGGGCAATGGTTCGGTTTGTGCAACCACAAAAATTGGAAGAACATGAACTCAATATTTCAAACCCAACATATCTTCAAAATGTAATCTGCACTGTCTGGACAAGATATATCCAACCCCTTGTTTTGAGTAGACACGTTTGACATAATCATCGATCCAACACTTTTTTACGGGCATATCAAAAGAGCCAAGTCCTTGGCAATGTCTTCACCTCTTCAGATAGTGTTCTTACTTTAAAATGTGTCTAAGGTACAAAGATATAAATGCCGACATCCATTACAATCAAAATCAGAATTCTTAAATCATCACAATCACAAAAGCTTTCTGCCATATATAACCACGTTTGCTCCAGCTACTGGTGCAAAATAAATATGTTCATCACCTATCGGTTCCAACTACTCACTTCATCATCCAATGCCAATATTGAATTACAATCATGTGACCAGGAAAAAGAAATAGCCGGAGCAAATAAATAACATTGACCAAGGAACAGGTAGTCAAACTATTAGGGGAAGTAGTCAAGTTTTTACTTTTTAGAATGAACTAACATCATGGTATTGAGTAGGACACACAACCATCCAACTATCAGGTTAGATATTTCATAAAGCAGCCCTAGCAAGACTTACTATATCCATATGAATTATGTCCCCTATCTCTATAAATATAAAGAAATTGCTCCATTATGCCTCACTAATAATAGTGGAATCAATGGCACAGAGTAAAAAAAAACAAAGACTATTATCAAACCAATCCAATAAATTGACTTATTATAGAAGAAATCATATATAATTTCTAATCGGGAGATTAAGCACAAGCAAAATCCAAATCATGTTGTCAGTGGACGCAAAAATATACACACTTACATATACTGAGAAAACAACAGCTACAACCATGATTGACCACCCCCAGTCACCAGCAAAATCATCCACCAATTTCCTCGCAACAAAGACACAAAAAACAGCAACTGGGGCGACTATTAGGAAGATAGTCATAAAGACTGACCTGACATCAGGTCCAAAGATGAACCTTCCTTGTAGAATAAATTTCTGCATAATCAAGAAGCACTAATGTCAAGAAAAAAGTATGCACAATCACGACATATGTGTCTTAAGAAGCTTAGTTATTGCAAAGAAATGTCAAAATATAGCAATAATACATCTAATTTGAATAGCTTGTCAACAGTACATGTAGTTGCTTCATTTTAGCGCCAACTAGAATTTTGAGGCATCTCAAAGTTTTGTAGAGCTTTAATTAGTGTATTGATTTCTGCTCACCTTATTTTCTTCTTTTTTTTTACTTTCTATCCTTCCTTCCGAGGTACCCTCATAAAGGTATTTGGTATTTACCTGATTTGCCGTATTTTACAGAAAAATTGTGAAATTGCTATTTTCACTATCTTCTTTGGTTAAGTGTGGTAATGTCAACTTAATTTGTCCAAGTATATCATATGAATAGGAAATGTTCGGATTTGGAGTCTACAAATGCCTCTTTAATGTGTATTCTTTTATAAGAGTCAATTTTACAGCAGTTAAGCTCTCATCGAATTAGGGTAGGTACTTGTAAGAGAAGACTTAGGAATATCAACACAATTATTGCTACTTTTGTTTCCTTCAGAGAGACTTCTCCTACTTTGCATCAACTACAAAACCATTGCCTACATTGGAACCTGAAATATTTACCACCAAATATTTCCTGCACTTCAGAGTCCATGGAACACTAAACCCTACAAACTGCAGGAATCTGCCTACTATCACAGCAACAGCTATTCTGAGAGCAAAAGTAGTTGCATTTTCATATCTTTTATCATATTTTCATTTCAATTGACTTGAATAATCTTATCTTTGAACCAAATGACAATGCATCCACTAAACTTCGCTCCATGCCATCACACTCTAAAAGAAAATATAAAGGGGAAAGAGTCCAAATTTGTGGCTATGACTGAGCGGAAGATATAATGTGATCACCACTTGGAGAAGTGAAGCTTAGAAGCCACCAATGCTCTTTAGTCGTTTCAAAAGGACGACAATCAGAGGTCCAAACAGTAACTGTCTGTCTGCCTTCCCCATCATTCTAAATCTAACATTTACAGCATATTACGAAATAATTCCAAAAGTATCAGGCATTTAAAGCTAAATTCAGCAGGCAAAGGCTTAAACAATCCACTAAGTTCAGGAAAAACGGGGGGATTCAAATCAATAGTAGCTATTCAACGATCTCAAACAGGTAACAGACAAAATAATAAAGGAATAATCACAAATTAATCAAACTTTAGAAAAACAGAATCATATCGCTATGACTCCTGGTAAACAAAAGTATGAAGTTCCAAAAGAAAATCTGAGATCCCAGTAATACTCATTTTAAACCTACATGTAGTCTCAAAATAGAAGAGTAGAGGAAAAAGGTCAAATCACTTACATTACTTCCCTTCCAGGCCTGATAAGTCCGTATAAAGGCGGCCTGATTGGCTGCACCACCGCCGGAATCTGAACTTTTGGGCGGAGCCACTCCATACATCTCTCTTTTTTTTCTTATCCTTTTCTTCTCTCTCAATCAATTAAAATAAAGCAAAGGATACAATATTGAGTAGTACAAGTTGAATAAGGAAAAGGTCAATGAAAACGAAAGAGAAAGGAAACGAAAAAAAAGCGACTTCCTTCTCTTCTCTCTCAACTTTTTATTAGTATTACTTCAACTGACGACGCGTAGAACAAGTCAGCCACGCGTAGCCATTGCGCCAGATCCCGGCGGCGGAGACGGCGACGGCAAACGGCGTTTGTTGGTTGGAAGCAGTGAATTTTGACAAGTAGAGATGAAGTTGTTTATTATTAGCTGGAAGAAGAGTGTGTGAGTTGGAATTGAAATGATTGAAGGAGGAGGAAGAGGGACAACAAACAAAATATGGGAATTTGAAACTCAGCCTTTTTTCTCTCTTTAACTCTTTTAATGTGACTTACGCGGCTAATAAATAGCGGGTAAAAAGAAGCAGGTCAATGCAACAAAAAATGTCGTATCCCATCACACTGATTGTTTAGTCAAATTAATAATTAAAGTAAAAAAAATTCATAACATCTAACAATAAATTAAATTAAATGCAAATGGAGTGATTTCTTTAAATATGAAACTATGCTTTCTTTAAAAGAGAACCTTATTTTTTTTGTGTCATAAAGTAATATTTTCTAAGTTAAAGTACTTTTAAATTAATGTATCATAACCGTCATTATTTTCTGTCATAATTTATGTAACATTTGTTTTTTAGCTTGTCTAAATGAGGATGTCACATTTTTTTAAAGTCACATTAGTGGTATTATTCTTATTTAATCATGGTTAACACTTTATTGTGAGGAAAATTCAACTAAAGTAAGTAACTAAAGAGATGTTAATAAGAACAATTTGATAACATAACAAAATTTTCTTTATTTGATCAAATAGTGTTAAATAAATTGAGACGAAGAAAGTAATACTTGAAAGAACGAAATAGTTTCACTAACACAAAGTGACATTAGAATTTTAATTTAGGAAAAAAGGTGTCAATAAAATGAAATAGATCAGTTGAAACAAAGTTTGAACTAAAACCTAAAGCAAAAGCAAGCCCACATATTATTCCAAATTCAGTGTTGGAGTTCATCTGCATGCCGGCAAAGTTGAAGGCTGTTAGCTCTATTATCATTATTACAACAAACAAACTATATCGATGCTTAATGTTATTCCAGAAGAAAAACACAAGATATCCAATTATTTCAAACACGATGCCATCCATGAGTAATGGAACGTGGGGTCTTCATGAGTAGCAAAGCTATCACTAGCAAGCTAGCATCCATTTTTTTGTAAAATAATCTCGGTATCGAGAGTTATGTCATACGCACCTTGACTAATTACATAAATATCATAATCTTTGTACATAAAATTTTTGACAAATAAAAAATAATACACTATTAAAAAATCTAGTTTTACATATGAGATTTATATATTGAGGTATGTCCATTTGTAATCAAGTTTTATCCATATTTATCGTGATTGGTTAATTTTACCAAGGAAGACTCCGAAAAATACCATTAGAACCCCTCAATCATCCATTGATATTTTACCTTCAGGAAAAATTAAATATACTAATGAACGATCTCGATGCTTTCAAAATCATATAATATTGATACTTAGTATTCATTATATATTGAGAGACGTACGTTAATTTATTAAAATTAAGAATTAAGTATATATCGATCTCTTAATATTCTTGAGGGATAGTGTCTGAAATTTTAAATTTAATTATTTTTATTTTGCACCTAGAGAGTCTCACGGAATAGTCAATTAAAACTTATAATTAAGAAGGCGCTTAACATAATTGAGCGAGAGACATCTCTAAGTATATCTTAAAAAATTGAGGATAAAAGTATTTGATTTTTCAAAAGACACCTAGCAAAGTCTCTTGGAATAGCGGCACAAAATTTGTCCATCAGAATTCAGATAGCCTTTTCAGTAAAAGAATGTTTTTCTTATAGTAAAATCGCTTCTTCTTTCTTTAAGTGAAATTTTAATCTGATATTTCACGATTTGTAATTCATTTCATTGACCATAATGTCATACCCATAATTCCATATGACACGAGAAGAGAATAAGATGACTCAAGCTAACACATACATTCACATAATAGCTAATTACTTTATTATGTTCTTTCTAAATATAAATTGTTTCTCTCGTAAGCAGCAGTCTAATCTTGATTCCATAATTTGTTCTGTCCGAATTATCAATAATATAATTGGCTGATCTATATTACTCTAGAACAATCATTATAGTCTAATCTTGATTCTGGGTGTATACACCAATCCAATACATGCATGTCATGTGTTTAAATTTATAGTTCATTTTACTTAACCCTAATTAATTAATAAATATTTTACTTCATTAAATCACATAATAATAATAATTGCATTAATTTCATATACGCCCGGTGCAGATAAGTTTTTTCCAACTTATTTCTATAATATCCTACACATTTTTCTTTAGGTACTTTATCATACTGATCTATTACAGATAGTATGACCGATTTGGACTTGAAAGATCATCTAAACTAATTATGAATGATAATAATTACAAATATCTTTTAATTGTGTGGAGCTGGCCAAACATGAATAGCCAACGTATTGGAAAGTTGACCACATTTTTTTCAAGTATACAAGCATGACGCAAAAGGCAAATATGTCCCAAAAATATTAATCAACCAAGATAGTTACAAAGTCGTATTAATTAGTTGGAATTGCATTAACATAATGAAGATTAATATGATGCATGCCAAGAGCCAATTGTGTAGCCATTTATTTGTTTGTTTTTTCTCCTTTTTTTTTTGTCTATTCAAATAAGCAATCTTCAATCATTATAAGACAAAAATGAGAGAACAGTTCAAACAAATAAAAAGTAGTTGGTGTGTAATATTGTGTCAAATTAAAGACCAACAAAATTAGAAACGAGATAAACAATTGTTAAATTTACACCTTTACTAAATATATCGTTAGTTCTTAATTTGTGACCTATTAAATATTCTATGCTTTCTACCATTAATTTTTTTTAGATATTTATTTATTGTTACGTACAACTTAACTTTACATGAAACTACTCCTACTTTTTTGTAATTTTTTTCCAAATTAAAGATTCGCACAAGGGGTTCAATAGATATGCCAAAGACAGCATGAAAGAAGGTAAAATCTCACCTCTGCATTACAATACTAGAATCATGCGAAATACATTCTTACACTCTAGCTTATAAGAGAAAGAAGAAAGGGAAAGGAGAAAGGTTGTTTTTTATCATATAAGCTTACAAAAAGGTTTAACGATCTTTTAAATTAAGTGCTTTTAAATAAGATGTCGAATATAAAATTTTCGTTACTCGAATTTCAATTAATGTTAGATTTGCTCTTCACTCGAAATGAAAATACCTACTTTCAACTTAACTCGAATTGGATCTGTTTATCCTTAGTTATACCATATTTTAGTGGAGAAAAATGATATGTTATATTAGTTGTTAAAACGAACAAGATTGACTTCTTTCTGGCCCAATTTTTTCCTTCTTGTGCATCTTACTGGGCTTATAATTTTGCAATCTCGGCTTTGTATTCCCTGTATTACATTACATTGATATATATATAAACGAAACTTTTGCTAGCGAAAAAAGAATTTTAGAAAGAGGGTCGACCATAAAAATGAATAGTGTGCACACAGATTTATATAGCGGAAGTATATAGGTATAGTGTATACTTAGGCTATATCGATAAACTAGATGGCCGAATGGATATTTAGTAAGTTCCCCATTGAAATATCAGATAATTTAGAGATGGTTAAACTTCAATAAATTGCTAGTTTTTGTGAATTCGGTCATGTCCCACCAATGTTGCCTTCTTTGTGGCCCAAAATTTTATTGGATCCTTTTAGTTATTGTATTTGTTGGGCTTATAATTTTGTGAAATGGGTTGGGCCTGTACAAGGATCTGGCTTTCAGGGTGTGTTGGTACTTTGGTATGGAGGAAAATATTTTACAATTCTCCATTATCTAGAAAAACAAGTTCCTTAAAATTGAGAAAAATAACTTCTTAATCAAAGTAGTAAAACAAGTTACATAACTGTCATTGCTAGTTCATTATCTCTTCATCACCCATCCAACATACCCTCCCCCTCTGGCCTCCCCATGACAATCCTAGTTACAGACACCCAGAGCTCTCACTACCCACCATATCCCACCCCATACCCTCCCCCTCCCGGTGACAATCCTAATTATGGACACCCCGAGCTCTCACTCCCCACCATATCTCACCTCCATAGTGTTTTGCTAGATAACATATAAATATCATACCCTTGAGATGATATATTTTGCTTAGCTAACAAACATTAGATAATAAATAAGAAACTCACTTGTTTTGCGAGAAAACATTTCCTCCATACCAAACACACCCTCAGTGTATAGTGTTGCTATTAAAACTAACCAAAAATTGATAGCGGAAAAAAAAGAAAATAAAAAGGTCCTACCGGGAGTCGAACCCAGGTCGCTGGATTCAAAGTCCAGAGTGCTAACCACTACACCATAGAACCGATGACGTCAACTTCACCATTTCAATTTATATGTTTCTTAGTATAGACCAAATCAGCTACTCCTAATAGTAACAAGTTACTACTACTATATCTTGCTTCCGAGTTTTACCTCTCTTATCAAAGCTAATAAACTCGTGACAAGTCGTTACTACTAGCAATGATTTTCTATTTTATAAAAATCAACTTTTATTCTCAAAACTAGCTGAATATACTTGAAATAGGGGTGTTCACGGGTCGATTTGGATCGGTTATTGGTCAAAACCAAAAGCAAACCAACTTAATCTGTTTTAAAATTATCAAAACCAAACCAAACCAAATATAATATACATTTATCGGTTTAACTTAATTGGTTTTAAAATTATCAAAATCAAACCAAACCAAATATAATATACATTTATCGATTTGGTGGTTATCGATTTCGATTTGGTTTGGTTTGGTTATTAACCATATACAAAAATAAACGAAACAATTCATTCAAAATGTGAAAAAGTGACAACAATCCATTCAAAACGAAAAATAGTTAGAATGACTTAAATTACTGAACTTTCGATCACTAATTTACTATCAATAAAGCTTTGAAATTCACTATATTGGCCTAGAATGAAGAGACAATAACATTTTCAGTTCCACAAAGAATTGTCATATAGACACTCATATACATGAAATCAATAAGATAAATGTTTTCATCTTAGGCATTTTTGCATTCAATAAGTAAATTATAATGAAATTTTAATGAAAATATATATAAGATCTTTAAAATTGTTTATAAAAACAATATTTTATGTATGTATATTATTCATCGGTTCGGTTCGGTTATTTCTTCGG